TCTCTCCCTCTCTCTCTTTGCCTCTCTCTCTCTCTCTCTCTCTCCCTCCCTCCCTCCCTCCCTCCTCTCTTGCTCTTTGTCTCCTTACCCCAAAGTGACCCCATTGAACAGTCACTATCAGAAATAGGAAGATACCCGACTGATGTAAAAATGGTCCTTGGTAGTATGAGATGCGGTGATTCCCCCAGGCTATGCCAATACCCACAACAGCCAGCAGAAGGCAGGTGGGGGACAGCAGAGAGCTGCTGGGGTTGAGGATGAGAGTGGGGATATCACCCAGCACATGACTCTGGAGACAAGGGATACCCTGGCATTCTGTTACAGTCTACTGAGTCCAGGGGCTTCAGGAACATTCTGCCTCAGTAGGAAGTCACAGCCATGGACCAGACTGTGAGGGCAGGGCCTGGTATATAGTGAGGGGCTGGCCAGCACAATGCATGTTGCTAAGGGTCATGGGGTGCAGGCCTCTCTAGGAAGATTCGTGTCTTCTTTCCCACATTCTGGTCTGCTCCAGGCTGAGAGTGACTCAGCTAAGTACTTCCTCTTTTATTTTCAACACAAGTTCAGACCACCAATAAGCACAAAGGCCCTAGCTGCCCAGCTGTCTAGAAAGCATTGGGCACTGATAAACTGTGAAAGGCCAGGCAGGACTCTAATCCTTGCATATTCTCAGTGGGATTCTTTGAAAGCCAGCCCATGAATCTCTGGAAGGCTCTGTGAGAGAGCTCAGGCCTTGGAGTTACCCTAAGATGACCTGTGTGTAAGGGTACCAGGACATTGAGGAGATGTGCCAAAGTGCCTGGGAGGCCTTCAGTGGAGGGGCTGCTGTCGTTAGGATTTGTAAGCTGTAAGGAGCCAGCAGCCCATTCTCTTTGCATACCCAGTCTATTAGTCAGAGAGACAGAACCAACTGGTCTATACACGGACAGGTGGAAAGAGGAGAGAGTTTACTTTAAGCAGTGAGCCCATGCTCTCCTGGAGTGTAAATCCAAAATTCACAATGCAGATGCCAAGTGAGGAACAGCTGCGGTGGAGCCCAAAGGCTGAGTCTAGAGGCCTGTTGGCAGACCTCTAGTGAGGTCAGCCCTTTGCTATTAAGGCCTTTGATTGACTAGAATGCATTATGGAATATGGTCTGCTATACTCAAAGTCTACTGTTTTAAATGACAATCTCATTTAAAAAACTACATTCACAGAAACATCTAGAATAATGTCTGACCAAATATCTGAGTAGTATAGCCTAGTCTAATTGGCACAAAACTCCCGCCGCCCCACACTTACTTCCAAAGTGTAAGCTCAGAGACAGTCACACACCTTGCCTAGAAACCTCACCCCAAAGTGCTCACAACACTGGCTCTCTCTGCAGCACCCAGTCAGGGGTCTGTAGGAGAAACAGCGGATGTTCTGGCTTCTGCTGTGTTGCCCTGCTGAGGGGAGCACTGTTCCTGGGCTCCTAGAACGTGCAAGGTAAACAACTGTGCTTCCAAACACTACAGAACCCACTGTGGCTGTACCCTGAGTCCAGGCCGTGCTGAAAGGATTCGACATGATGGCACCCGCAGGGCAGAGCTCCCTGTCATCTTCCTGAAAAGGACACAGCCTGGGTCTCAGCTACACGTGGTGTCTCTCCCTCCACCCTGAGTAAGGACACAGTGGACGCGTGGCCTGAAGCAAACCAATTCCTTATACTCAACCAGCCCTGAAGATCAACACATGTTCATGCATGCTTCCCTTATGCTCTATAAGAACAAGAAACTAAAAAAGATCAAACTGCTTCTGGAAACAGACTTTTCCAAAGAGTCTAGAAAGCAACATTGGTGTAACCCCAACTACTAGCATTCAAACCTAGAAACCATCCTCTCATTCAAGCCTTTCTCTGACAGCCCTTCTGTGTTACAAATCTTCATCATCAAAGGTCTCCAGACACTTCAGCAGCAGCATCTCATCATCCATGGGCAGGGCTGGTTCCTGCAAGTCAGTGTACAGGAGGTGAAGTTTGGATCCCAACTCTCTCAGTTTCTACCATCTTTCACCGCCACCCCGCCCCCCGCCGCCGCTGACCAAAAGAGAGACAAGCAAACTCTTAAGGCTTCATCTAAATACCTGTCTATGTTCATTAAGAAATGAACGGAATAGTTCTTTTTCTGTGGCACAGACTACAAGGAAAAGAGCAACGTGCAAGGCAGTGTGCCTAGTAGGGCTACCACTGGTGTTTGAAGTGTAAACATCTACAGATTGCCTGTGGATGGATGTGCAAGACACTGCTCATGGTGATTGCCTCTGGGAAAAAGTATGGGGTAGTGAGCAAGGAAGATGGCAGGAGAGAGACAAAGATTTTTTTTTAATGTGTATGAGTGTAGTGCCTGCATGTATGTGAGTGCACCCGTGTCATGCAATGCCTCAGAGGTCAGAAGAGGATGTTGGACTCCCCTGGAACTGGAGTTAAGGACGATTCATGGCCACCATGTGGGTGCTGGGAACTGAACCCGGGGCCTCTGCAAGAGCAGTCAGCGCTCTTAACCACTGAGCCATCCCTCCAGCCCGAGACTAAGATTTTATTGAACATCTTTTGATAAGTTTTGAATTTCATACCATGTGCATGGGTTACCTATTACAAAAACCAAATCTTTTGAAAGAAACAGCACTACATCTGTTTAGCAAGACTTTCTTACTCTCTTTTCAATGGCACCTGTCATCTTTTCAGAACTGTCTCTTCCTTAAAAGTGCGTTTCAGGGTTTTTGCTTGGTGCTAAACAACTTGCCTAGCACTCATGCTAGAATTTAATTCCTAGCACCAGAAAAAAACTGTTAGAGAAGTGGGATTGGGGGCCTCTTGTTTAAGGTAAAGGTATCAATAAAGGCTAAGAAAACAGGCAGTTAGAGCACAGGGCTTCCCAGCAGGCCAAGTGTTCTCAGAAGGAACCACATGCCCACATCTCTGTCATACAAAGGGCTTGACTGCTGTTCCCTCAAAGTCTCCTAAAGTCAGACATTTTAAAATTGCAGATTTGCTAAAACCAGCAGGGAATGAGTGATCTTGGTTGGCAGTGGTTGCTGAAGTGTGTTGAATAGATGTGCTTCCCCGGCCCCTGCCATGTCCAGATGGAAACTCATTTGGAGTAAGGGTTTTGCAGACGTAGTTAGTTAAGGATTTCAAGAAGAAACCATCCCGGATTTCGGCTGGGCCCACCCCAAATCCAAATGATTGATGTCCAGAAAAGTCAGGAGGGGCAGAAAGGTACTGAACAGGACCCATGAAGACAGAGGAGGTGACTGAAGGGATGTGGCTACTGGCAAAGAAGGCTGGATATTGTCAGAACTACCAAAGGTCAGAGCAAGGCATAGGGAAGTTCTTTACCGCAGCTTCTGGAAGCAGCCCAGCCTTCCCAACCTTCATTCCAGACTTCTGGCCTCTGGAACTATGAAATGAGTCTCTACTGTTGTAAGCCACTAAGTTTATGAAAAAGAGTACTGCTGCTGACTGAGCTTCATCCAAGCCCTCCCATGAAGCGACAGGGGCAGAAGAGAGCTGGGGGTGGAATGGGGACGAGAATGGAATTTCTCTCTTCTCACCAGTCTGTTCAAGTCCACATTTCCACTATTTTCAAACACAAGTATCTGTTCTTGAAGTCTTGGTGAAGTGAACTAATTTAACCGCTTCCAACAAAAAGTGTTGATAAGGGATGGTCACTCAAGGACTGGTGGGCAGCAGAGGGTGAACTCTAGGAATAGGTACTGACCCCAAGTGGGGATTGAAAGTGATGTGCGTAGAGAGACATGAAGAACTCGTGAGGAACTTAGCCTGTTGAAACGGTGTCCTAATTGCTTTTAGGTAAGCATCTACCATTATTATATTTCCATTAGAAATAAACAGTTGTGTCTTTGCCAGGTTAGTAAAGAAAAGCCATAGTTGTGTTTCTGAAAGGACCCGGGCTCTGGCAGTGTGTTCATAATTCCTTCCCCCATGACAGCTTCCTAACCAAGACCCTCATGATTTATGTCACCATCGGCTACAGGGTCAGCTTTTAGGGAGAGAAATTAGCCTTCAAAAGCTGACGACCCCAAATATCATTGCTGAGTCATGGAAAATAAGAAACTAGCTTGACCTTTTGGAAAGATGTCGCCCAGAATTTATGGGCACTTGCTATGAGCCAGCCCTGGGGATCTGGTCTCTGCTTCAAACGGTTCATGTGTAGGTCTGTCCTAGAGGACATCCCACTGTCTCTTCCCTCAGTTTCCTTGATGTCCTCCATTCACAAGGGGCACTGCATTGAAGTTGGCCAATCTTAGAGCAAACCAGAGAGCTTGAAGGCTCTCTCAGGTGGTCTGTGTGAGACCGGGCTAGAGCACACACCCCCTCCGCGCCCACCAAAGAACCTTCTATCATAAAGGCAGCGGGCAGAGGTCTCCCGTCTCTACTCTGTCTTACCTGTTATTTTTTGTTTGGGGGGATTTATTTATTTCTATTTTACTTATATATTGCCTGCATGTATGTAAGTGCACCCATGGTCATGCAATGCCCCCAGAGGTCAGAAGAGGGTGTCAGATCCTCTTGAACAGGAGTTATGGATAGTTGTTATCTGTCATGTGGGTGCTGGGAATGGAACCTGGGTCCTCTGTAAGAGCTATCAGTGCTCTTAACCATGGAGTCATCTCTCCAGCCCCATGTCTTACCTGTTTTATCTCAGGGTTAATGCAGCAAATGCCTTGTAAAAACTCAGTGATCTGCATGTAGAGCTGAAACTTTTCCTCTGAATTTTCTGAGGCAAAAATGGAACTGACAACAGAAGAAACAGAAGACATTTAGAGCCCTAGCCTCTCACCGACACGTGCCACCATTCATCCCCTAAGAAACTGGATCACTGTGAACTCAGCACTTGAAACACCCAGCTGAATGGAGCCCAGCACTCATCCTGGAAGCCGTGTACCATTTCACTTAAGTGTCCTGTCTGGAAGGCCCTGAAAAAGTAACTATGGCAAGACTGGCTCTTGTGTCTGTGTGTGGCCTCCTGGGAAGGAGTGAGATCTCTTGCTCTCAGAGTCGATCTCCTATGGCAGAGCCCGTGATTCTGGGACCATCTGAGGCAGCTCAAGGTGCTCAATGCACAGTGTGAGTTCAGCCCAGGAGAGGCCTCAACTCAGTGCCTCTTCCACTGAGCTCAGCCTTAAGCAGATATGAGGTCTGGTTTGTGGCTTCTTCATGCCTTTGGGAGCAGCCCTGTGCAGCCCTGTGAGTTGCACATGACAGCTGTCATTTGCCCTCCCTTCTCCCTGGGAGGAGGTTTCACAGTCAGCCCAGGAATCCTTTTCTGGGTGAGGCAGGAAAAGGCATTTTAACAGGTTGCTTTTAGTCTTTTGAGCAGGGCAAGGACGTCCTAACACTGCTTGACAAGGACACTCTAGCAACTTCTTGACAAGTTGTCTTTGCAGCCTACACCCAGTGCAGATAGGAATGTCCCGCTCCAGCTCTTTGCAGCAAAATGACGCTCCATACACAGCTGGGAAGAACTTGTGTCACTGTGTTTGTCACTGTGTTAGGACGCTGAGGAGGACATAGTCTCCTAGCAATCCCCAAGCCTGGTGAGGTCTGGCAGGGGAAGGAGATGGAGGAACAAAGGCCTGAGTCCAGCCTGTCTGAAGCTCTGCTTGAAGCTACCCAAGCCATGGCTTCCAGGACTCCCTGCAGCCCAGGATGCCATGGAGTCAGCACAGTGGAGCTATTCATTCGGATGTGAATGCCACCCTCACTCCCATGACAGAAAACCCACATCAGGCATATTTTCAGCCAGTACACCAGCCAAGACCACAGCTCTTCAAACACCAGCTGCAATACTCCAATTCTAGACTGTCTCACTATGGGGAAAGGCCCCGTTGGTACAGATGGAGCCAAGATGCTTCTTGTTTGAAATCTTCCCAGATCCTGTTTCATATCTAAGGGGCAGCCATCTCTTCTGCTCCTTCCAAATCTGTTCCCATCAGTTTCCCTCTTTGTAAACCTTAGAGATATCCTCCACTCATGGCGTGTTCCTACATCAGCCCAGTTCTTTGGGCCCCAGAGCTCCTTGCTCATTTCTGCCAGATTGACTGCTATTGCCTGGCTCTAGGTGTCATAGACCGGAGGTCTGTGTCTCTCCCCGCCCCCCCATACCTAAACCCCAGCGTTGATGGCATTAGGAGGTGGAGCCTTTGGGAGGGTCATTAGGACTCTTACAAAGGAGGCCCTAGACAGATCCAGTTACACTGAGAAGGTGCCATCTGTGGGGAACTGGCTCTTACCAGACTCCATCTCTGCTTTAACCTTGAGCTTCCTGCTTCCAGAACCTTGAAAAACAATGGTTTATCATGTTTAAACCATCCAGTCTATGGTATTTTGTGGAACAATGGACTTGAAGCAGAACTGTGGCTGCCCAGAGCAGGGATAAGAAGGACCAAGACACTGGGCAAACAAGGCCAATGAAAGGTGTGCTTTCAGAACCTTGAGCTGATCACTTGGTGTGTGTCAGGCCTGGGCAGGATGGAAGAGCTTCCTGTTCTGGGGGTACTTAAGACCACATCCTCCCCAGAGGGATGGCAGGATTTTAGGAATGGCCCTCTTCCAATCCCAGAAAAAAAGTTGATCCCAAGAACTTCACTGAACTGTGTTTATCAGGAGGAGAAACTGCAAAGCACACCAGGAAGGGGACACTCGTGTGTACGCACACACACACAGACACATGCACACAACACACACACACACACACACCATCTCATACCCACATGTGCACACACAATTTCATATATTACACTTGCACACTAACACATAAACTCACACCACATACCCAGACAAGATCTCACAGCTGTCACACCTTTACACACCCACACGTGCCATCCTCTACCACCTCACCTGAGGCTAGCCATACTCAGCTCCTCACTTTTGTCCAGGAAACTTGCCACATCGAAGGCATCTTCAAACAGGATCTGGAAGAAAGCACAGCACTTCCTGGATCAGAACTAACTTGCAGTATGCTGTGCTGGAGGCTGCTGGGCTGAGAGCAGCCGAGAGGTTCGTTACACTGCATGTCCAAAAGGCATGCATGTCAAACTAGCCCCCAGCCCAGGGTCTCTGCTCAGTGATCTTCCTAGGGAGAAGGAAGGAGGAGAAAGGAAGCCCTGGGGCCCTACCCCTCTTTCTCAAATGACAGCAGCTCAGATATGAGAGGCAACAGCCAAAGCCATGCCTCAGTTTACAGCCAGGAAAGGCCCATCCAAACCTCCCCAGGTTGAGATCCATTCAAGCCCACAACCCACAACCCTGATCTCCTGCCACTGTAGCTGAGTACAGTGTCAGGCTGCAGGTGTACAGGCTGTGTGAGCTCATCAAGTTAGTTCCTTCAAACCCTCCTCTACAAAATGGGAGTTGGAGAGACAGTTAAGAGACCATATTGCTCTTGCAAAGAACATGTACTGCTCTTGCAAAGGACCCAAGTTTGGTTCCTAGCACCCATGTTGGGTAGTTCATAACTGCCTGGAACTCCAGCTCCAGGGGTCCCAGATGACAAACTCTTCTGGCCTCTGCAATCATCTGTAGTCATGTACACACACACACACATACACACATACTTAAAAATAAAATAATATCTGGTATAGTGGCTCACACCTTTAATTCCAGCACTTGGGAGGCAGAGGTGGGAAGATCTCTGTGAGACTGAGGCCAGCCTGGATTACATAGTGAGTTCCAGGCCAGCTGGTGCATTAGGAATTCTCTCTTTCTCTCCCTCCCTCCCTTTTGATGTGAGGACGCAGCAAGGAGGCCCTAGTGAGATTCCAGCATAGTGAACTTGGACTTGTCAGCCTCCAGAACTGTGAGCCAACAAATTTCTGTTCATTGTTAATTTCCCAGGATCTGTAATACCAGGGAAAAAGGGCAATGTGATTACAGCTGCTCAGAGTGGCTGCAAGAATTAAGGAAGGTCATATATGTGAAACTCAAATACATTGGCTGTATTAAAGATTATCTGCTTTATGAAAGAAATACGCGAACATCATAGAAATTCTGCAAAGTAGAAACAGGTAATTAGGAATCGCCAAGCAAGAGTCCTGCCAGAGATGTTCATTACTGACATACTGATCTATTTTTGATTTCCTTCATCATGTCATAAAGTTACAGTAATTAATAACCAAATATGATGAGAATTTAGAATCTTGTTATTTAGCTTTTTGGATCTGCTTTTCCTGAATTTGTTAAAAAATTATTAAGTATTCTACACACATGTGATTTACACTTCAGATTGCCAGATTTAGCAAAAACATAACAAAACAGGACGCATAGATAAATTTGAATTACAAACAAAGAATGAGTATTTTTTTAGCATAAGAAAGCTCTGAACATAGCAGGAGATATGCTTGAATTAAAAATGTAACTGGGACTGAAGAGACAGCTCGGTGGTTAAGAGCACTGGCTGCTCTTGCAGAGGATCAGGGTTCAGTTCCTAGCACCCAAATAGCAGTTAACCATCTGTAACTCTAGTTCCAGGGGATCCAATGCCCTCTTCTGGCCTCTGTAGGCATTGCACACATGTGGTGCACTTACATACATGCAGTCAAAACACCTATATACATAAAGATCAAATAAATAACAAAATTCAAAATGTAACTGGACATGCCTCATTTTCTGAAGCACCCTATTTTTTTTTTTTGGTCTGTTTTTTTGAGACAGGGTCTCCCTGTAGCCCCAGCTTGTCCTGGAACTCACTATGTAGACCAGGCTGGCCTTGAACTCACAGATATCCACCTGCCTCTGCCTCCCAAGTGCTGGGATTAAAGGCATGTGCCTTTATTTACACTAGCAGTCACCCTCAGGGGACAAGAGGTGTTCTCTGGCCCTGCCTTGTTAGGTGCTGGTGGGTCTGCCAGGGCCTCCCCTTACATGTACCTAGCATGTGCCACTCTCTCCCTGGGGGCTGCTTGCTGTGTCTTCTCTCAATTTGCCTCCCTCGAACAGAAACCTTTGGAACTCTGGCAACATAAACAGTTCTGCTTAATTTTCTGGACTCTTTTTGGTATCTTATTTGACATTCTTGTTGTCACTTCAAAGACAACCCAAGAAGAGACCATGGAAAGGTCTGGGCCCTCATGTCTACCAGCTCCATGTTCCTTTCCACAGATCTGAGATTGAGAGTCAGGCCCTAAATTGACTTCACAAAATTAGCCCATAAAGCAACAGACCACACACTGCCCTCTCATATACAAACCTCTCTCATGAGCCAGCCCAAGAGGGGAACCTCAGACTCCAACCACCCAACCCTGAAGCTCCTACCATACTTATGGGCCATCCTTCTCAGACCCTAACCACTCTGTGCAATACCTCATGGGCATGACTGGTCCTAGGTCTAGGAGCTGGCCCCAGTACAACTATTCTGTGGTAGATCTTTCCCAGTGAACTACCATCTGCTGGGAAGCTGGTTTAGAAAAGCACAGAGCTGATCTAGAAGCCACAGTGAGGGCAACTGTGACTTTGACTGCCTAGAGCTTGAGTGTGCCCTGCTCTTCTCACCTTACTCTAGGCTCTCACTTCTCTCAAAACTGGGCACTGCAGTACAGTCAGGTGCCTGCACCTGGACATTCCTGGGAAAATCTGATGTGTGCTTCCTTCAACTCCAGGAAAGCATGAGCTGGTAGCCCTCACTGAGAAAGGCCAGACAAGCCAGTCCCATGATATGTGAGCACTGGAGTCTCGGTGTTTTCTCTTTAGAGCTGCTTTCCTTGAGAAAATGTTTGCACTGACAAATGCATACAAATGAGTTCATATACACACAACATACACATGCAACTGACTCCTCAGACTTTATATAAGCTTTTGTTTTTGTTTTTTTTTTTGTGGAAGACTCAAGAGCTAGGTACTTTGGGGCTATTCCTTCACACCTGCATCAGGTATGAGTTCTTCGGCTGCTGGTTGCCTGAGTCTGCTTGACTTATTATGGAGGAAGAGTCATGTCCTCTCATGGTAGTCCAGCATTAGCAGAAGATGAGAAGCTGAACTCCGGTAGGCTGCCTGGGGTGGTCTAAGATTACATCCCTGGATACAGGTTAAAAATGCAGACCCAGTACCTTACCCTCAAGGATTGTGATCCCATGGGTCTGGGTAGGAGACTGGTACCTGCCTGCTTTATTAAACACCATAGTCAGGTGAGAATCATCAGGGGAGAAAATGGAGCATTGACTATCAACACCTGAGCAAAGGGCAGAGCCACCTGACGAACCGTGTGGTGAGAGTGAAGTGGGAACAGGAGTCTGGAAAGTGATAGTCTATTTAGGCTTATAAACTAGAAGACTGAGTGATACCTCTGTTCTCTAGGCTTGGGCCTGATGATGGTGGAAGCTTCCAGGAAGATGGGAGATTTTAGTGGTGCACCCCCAGGGTGAGAGGCATGTGGAGGCATTCAGGCTCTAGGACTCCAAACACACACCACTAAGGCTGTCTCCTCAAAGAGACCACCACTGAGGGACATTAGGAAAGGCAAGACAAGGGAGTGGTAGCCAAGGACGCTAAGTGTTTCACAAAGCACAAGACAGGTGCAGAGAGAAAAGAATTGTCTGCTCTTGGGATAGAGTGGCCAGGAAAGCTCATGTGAGCAACGATCAGTCAGCAGAAGCTCTCCTAATTCTCAAAGAGCTACTGTCAGCCTGCTTTTCTCTCCGAGCAGTGTGACCATGAATGACATCTGGCACCCTGCTTTGTAGGCCATGACTGTTCTTACTACACAACTGAGAGAGGTATTTATAGTGGAGGCAGTGATTGCCCACTTTTCTTGAGTGGTTGCAATGCATTCTGGGGTGAGAACCGACAGCCTCTCAGGACTGGGCTCTATTAGTCCCAGAGTAATCCTCTCCATTGCCAGTCATTTGCTTGGTAAGCTGATAATTTGGCCAGTTCTGGTCAATGAGAGGGGAAGAGAGGGATGGTGGAAAGTTCTAGAAATATTTTTTTTCTTGCATAAAGATGTGTCGTCAGAAAAATTCTTTCCTTCTCTACCTGGTTTCAAGGAGGAAGAATGCCAGTAGCACTTGCTCCAGCTGCCACCCCACAGCCACAGGGTTGAGAGAAGGATGGAGGGAGGGGAAGGGTGAGGAACAACCCTAAGATGAAGCTGAGCAAAGAAAAAGGAGGAGCCTGAATCCTGCGGACATCACTGGCCAGCTGACTAACCAGGATCTCCTTGGATACCATGAGATCTTTCCAAATGGTTTTATAATCAAGTCACTGGAAACCAAAAGATTCCCACCTCAACCTAAAACCTTCACTCCTGTAATTCCAGGGAATATTCAGGGCACTCAGAGGAGAAAAGGCATGCTCTTCATGGGACATGGAGATTACGGTGAGAAAAATCCAAAACCTACAGCATGACCAGAATCCAAATGAATTTTCAGATTCATTAAATGACCTGGCCTGGAGCCAAGAGGTGGGGTAGAGGGGGAATTGGGGTAGGGGGCAGATGGTAGCTCCTGTGCTCCCTTTTCTCCATCCCACAGGTTTTGCTCACCTCTTCTGGGGTGGAGCCCAGTGAGCCACTGGCCCCTTGGCTTTCCACCCCACTGTCCTTCATACTGTCCTCCAGGCAGGCCATCTCCAGACAGGCCTTGGTGAGGTCAGGGAGATTGCAGTACTGCTGCTCCCAGGCCTGCAGGAGACTGGTCTTCTTCTCTTCAGAGAGGGTCTGCCACAGGTGGGAGATGGCGGCTGAGACGATAGGGAGTGTCTCTTCCTGCGGGGAGATGATGCCATTTGTGGTCAGACGGTCCATCGCCTGCTTGTAAAAGTTGAGGTACCTGGAACAGAAGCAGTGCGTCCCTCAGACCTGAAGCTGGATCCTCAGGATTCTGGTCATGGCCAGGCCACAGCTCACAGGCCTGGCCACAGTTCCATGGTTTATCAGCAGCACAGTTGTGTCTCTTGCCCTCCCCTGGCTCCTGTATTGCAGAAGTCATGGGGGCAGGCAAGGAGGATTTATGGCCTTCCCATCCCCTGCTTCTGAAGCTCCCTGCCTTGTAGAAGGTGTGGCCTACCCAGCTCTCCTCATTTGGGAAAATTCCTTAAAACATGAACCCATTGGCCTGATTTGCGGGATTTGAATGGCTCCACTCCTCTCTGGTCCATTGCTCTGGAAGTCAACATGGCTGCTGGAGGATCCTAAGTCTGTGGAGGAGGCAGTAGCAGCTTGAGCCATCCAGTCACCACCTTTCTACAGCAGCAGATGTGGCCTGGTTTTCTAAGTTTAAAGGTGGACTTGTAAGGTGGATGTGTGGTGGAGGGAGGGGTGAGTCCTAGTAATCACCGTCAACAGTGCTCCCAAGCCAAGGGACCCTAAATAAACACCTATTATAAATAAAACCATCATATTTGCTATACAAATGTAACTTTAAGCGTATTTGCCCAGTTCTTTAGCCAGTCCTCTCCTGGGTACCTCCTACATGGGAACCATGTAGTTCCAGGGATTCAGGGCCTGGTCTGAATTGTGCATACTTGGAGGCTGCTGAGCAGACCAGCTGCTCCTTCCCCACAGAATCTCCCTGCATACAGGAAACCATCCCGCCCAACATTTCACACCGTTCAAATTCCAGCAGGTCTGGTGACAAAGTGGCTGAGGAGTGTGGGAGATCTACTTTTTTCTCCTCTTCCTCTTCTTCCTCCTCCTCCTCTTCCTCTTCTTGGTCTGCTTCCTCCTCTCCCTCTTCATTCTCTTCTTTCTCATCACCCTTCCTGACTTCCTCAGTTGGGTGCCATGGGAAGGAGTTGTCTTGAGAAAAACTATTTAAGATTAGGCTAAGGGAGAAAACAGAATCAAGATAATCCTACAGGTAAGTAACTCTAGTGAACGTAGACACAAATCTGCAATGACTTTAATAAGCGTCTATTAATCCAAGCGTACCAATACCAACCACTAGATGGCCCTTAGGGATACAAGGCAGCTGCTGCAGCTTTTGAAAACCAATCAACATTATTTACTGTATCGACAGTCTACAGAAGGAAAACCGTGTGTTTGCCTCATTTTGTTCCTCTGGAAACAAAAATGTGATAAAGCTGTCTGTATAGAGTAAGATTATGGGTAGTTTCTTCTTGACACAGTTTTGTGTGTTTCACACTGTATAACTTGATTTTTAATATTTTTTTTTTACTACTAATTGTTTTTCGTAGGCTATAATACACATTCATTGTTTAAAAAATGTGAAAGCACATCAAAAGTACAGAGGAGACTTGGCAGGCTGAGTCACTCCCTGACAGCTCAGCTCTTAGCCCAGCCTGGGTTCCTGGGATTCTTCCCTGCCCAAGACTTGCAGTCTTGAATTCTATCCCTAAGACCCCCGCTGCGGTCCAGACCTGCGAACTCCCACCTACCAGCCAGCCTGCTCACCTGGCAGCCCCACCCCATCCTGCTGATCCAGGACCCTGCACAATCAATTCTGGAATCCCAACTCAAAAGTTGCACCTGTCTGTCTTTAGCTGAGCCGAGATCACTTCTTTCACCCCAGCTGTACATCAACATGAAGGAATCCCAAAGCTAAACACCATGCACTACTCAGTTGGGCCATAATCTGACAATTTGGGGAAACAACAAACAACATACAAACATTCAACAGGACAAGATCACTTACCCACACCAAGAAACTCCACCACCGAAGTCCAGATGCCTAGGGCTCAGCAAAACCCACAACGATATGAATAACAAAGATTTCGATCACTAACACAGAAATTAACAACTCCATTGTAATGTTTCTTGAGAACGGCAACCAAGTGGATGCACAAGACAATGATTTCAAAATAGCAATTATGAATGTGCTCAAGGAACTCAAAGAGGACATGACTAAAACACTGAATGAAGACTGTGAAAACACAAATAATTGAATGAAATAACTAAAACGATTCAAAACATAAAACTAGAATTCAGTAAAGTGATAAACTCTCTCAAAAAAGCCAATCTGAAATAAAGCTTGAAGTAAAAAAAATCCAGGAACTTGAGGAAAGAAACAAAAAAGAAATGTAGGAAATGGAACAGACTATCAGATCGTGAAGACAAGCTTGCAGAACTAGATCGCTCAATCAAAGGAAATGTTAAATCTGGGGCTGGAGAGTTGGCTCAGAGGCTAAGAGCACTGGCTGCTCCTGCAGAGGATCCAGTTAACTTCCTATCACCCACATGGCAGCTAACAACTATCCATAGCTCCAGTTCCAGGGGATCCAAATCCCTCTTCTAATCTCTGTGGGCACTGCATGACATGGGTGCACTTACATACATGCAGGCAATATACTCATACACATAAAATAAAAATAAATAAATAAAATGTTAAAAAAGAAAATGTCAAATCCAAAACAAGGCAGAAACAGAATATGCAAGACCTCAGGGACACTGTAAAAAGACCAAACCTATGAATCATAGGCACAGAAGAAGAAGAAACCCAGGTCAAAAAGCACAGAAAATATTTTAAGTAAAGTCATAGAAGACAATTTCCCAAACCTAGGAAAAGAGATTCTCAAGGTATAAGAGGTATACAGAACACCAAGTAGAAAGGACCAGAAAAGAAACTCCCCGTATCATATAATGGGCAAAATAAAAGATATTGAAAGTTCTAAGAGAGAAAAATGAAGCCATTTATAAGGACAGTCATCAGAATAACAGCTGACTTTTCAGTGTTGACTATGAAAGCCAGAATGGGCATGGACCAATATCATACAAGTTATGAAAGAACACAGATTCTAGCCCAGACTATTATACTCAGAAAAACTATCAGTTATAATTGAAGAAGAAAGAAAAAGTTTCCATGGTGAAAACAGATTTAAGGAATTTATGTCCACAAAACTAGCTCTACAGAGAATACTTGATGAAATACTTCAGTCAGAAGAGATGGAACACCCTCAAGAGGGAACAAAGAGTAAACAAACATCCAAAACAGTCAACCAAAAGAGGTCCTAGAAAACAGCATTACAACACCAACATAACGGGAATTAATAAACATTAGCCAATACTAACCCTCAATATTAATGGTCTCAACTCCTCAGTAAAAAGACACAGACTAACCAATTGGATTAGAAAACAGGATCCACCTTAGGGTAAAAGGATGGGAAAAGATCTTCGAAACAAATGGAACTAGGAAATGAACAGGTGTAGCTGTTCTAATATCGGACAGAATAGACTTCAAACTAAAACTAGTCAGAAGAGACAGGGAAGGTAATTTCCTACTCACTAAAGGAAAAATCCACCAAGAAGAAATTACATTCTAAACATATATGCAGGGCATCCAATTTCATAAAAGAATCTTTATTAGCTCTAAAATCTCACATTGACTCCAACATAGAGATAGTGGGTGACTTCAATACACTGCTGTTACCAATAGACAAAAACTAAACAGAGAAACCCTGGAGTTAAATGATACCACAAATAAATGAACTTTACAGACTTCTACAGAACATCCCATCCAAACACCAAAGAATATACTTTGTTCTCAGCAACCTATGGAACTTTCTCCAAAATCAACCACATATTAGGACACAAAACAAGTCTCCACAAATTTACGAAAATTGAAATATCATCTTGTATTCAACCTGACCACAAAGGTATTTGAATAAAGCTAGATATCAACAATAATAGAAATGGGGAAAATGGATAAATTCATGGAAGCTAGACAACACATTACTGAATGAAATTTGGCTCACGAAAGAAATCAGGAGGGCAATTAAAATTTTCTTAGAATTGAGTGAAAATGAAAACACGACATACCAAACCTCTGGGACACAATGAAGGAGGTCCTCAGAGGAAACTACAGCATTAAATGTCTACAGCAGAAAATTATAAATATCTAATAGAAATAATGTTGCACCTGAAAGCTTTGGAAACTAAGAACAAACAACATCTACAAAGAGCAGATGGGAAGAGATAAACTCAAGACTGAAGTTAATGAACTAGAAATGAAGAAAACCATATAAAGAGTTGGTTCTGAAAAGATTAACAAGATTGAAAAACCTTTAGCAAAATTAACCAAAAGAGAGAAAGAACCCAAATTAACAAATTCAGAGATGAAAAGGAAAACATTACAACAGACCTGGAAAATTCAGAAAACCATAAGAACATACTTTAAAAATCCATATTCCACTAAACTAGAAAAATCTAAAAGAAATGGATAAAATTTGAGATATGTATGGCCTACCAAAATTAAATTAAATGACATAAATAATTTAAGCAGACCCATAACACCCAATGAGATAGATTCAGTAACTAAAAGCCTCCCAACTAAAAAGAGCCCAGCACCAGATGGATACAGGGCAGAATTCTAGCAAACCTTCAAATAACTAATACCAATACTCCTCAAATTATTTCATAAAATAGAAAATGAAGGACCACTCCCAAATTCCTTCTATGAAACCAGTATTGCTGTAATACCAAAACCAAAGACCCAACAAAAAAGAAAATCATAGACCAATCTCTAATGAACATAGGTGCAAAAATTCTCAATACTCACAGCTGAATGCAAGAATACATCCAAAAGATTATCTGTCACAATCAAGTTTGTTTCATCCCAGAGATGCAGGGATGGTTCAACATACTTGTAAAACAATAAATGTAAACACCGCCACATAAAGAAACTCAAGGAAAGAAATCACACGAGTATTTCATTAGATGTAGAAAATGCCTTTAACAAAATCCAACACCCATTCATGACAAAAGTCATGGAGAACCTAGGCATACAGGGGAGTTCTCTCAACATAATAAAGGCAGTATACCAACAAGCCCACAGCCAACATCATACTAAATGGAGAAGAACTAAAAGCATTCCCATTAAAATCAGGAACCAGACAAGGATGACCATTCTTTCCACTCCTGTTCAATATTGTACTTTCTTAGCTAGAGCAGTAAGACACACAAAGGAGATAAAGGGATACAAACTGAAAAGGAAGAAGTCAAAGTATTTTTATTTGCAGATGATAATGATTCTACACAGAAAAGATCCTAAAGACCACAAAAAAATCTTCTAGAGCTGATAAATACATTCAGCAAAATAGGATATAAAATTAAACCCTAAACCAGTAGCCTCCCTATAAACCAACAGCGAACATACCAAGACAGAAATCCAGGCAGCGATCCCATTCATGATAGCCTCAAAATCCATAAAATATCTTGGAATAAATCTATCAAAAGAAGTGAAGGACTTGTACAATAAACATTTTAAGACATTGAAGAAAGACGGAAGAAGATACCAGAAGATAGAAAGACCTCCCATGCTCATTGATCAGTAGGATTAATATTGTGAAAATGGTTACCCTATCAAAAGAAATCTACAAATTCAATACAATACCCATTGAAATTCCAACACAATTCTTCACAGAAACTGAAAAAATAATCTCAGATTTCTAAGGAAACAAACAAACAAAGAGAAAATCCAGGATAGCCAAAATAATCTGGAACAAAAAAAGAACTGCATTAACATCCCTGATCTCAAATTGTACCACAGAGTTATAGTAATAAAAACAGCATGGCACTGGTATAAAAACAGACATATTGATCAGTGGAATAGAACTGAGGACCCGGATTTAAATCCACACATTTAAAGCCCCCTGATTTTTGATAAAGGAGCCAAAAATATCCACTGAAGAAAAGAAACGTGTTCAACAAATGATGCTTGTCAAACTGGATAAGGGTGTGTAGAAGAATGAAAACTAGATCCCTATCTCTCACCATGTCCAAAACTCAACTCCAAATAGATCAAGGACCTCAACATAAGACCCCACACCCTGAATCAGATAGAGGAGAAAGTAGAGAATACATTGGAACTTGTACGCACAAGCAGAGAAATGTCTAGGCAGGACTTCTACAGCAAAGTCATTAAATCCAAATATTGACAAATGGGACCACATGAAACTAAAAAGCTTCTGTATATCAAAGGACACCATCATTCAAGTGAAGAGACAACCTACAAAACGGGGAAAAATCTTTACCAGCTGTGCCTCTGGCAGAGGGTTATTATCTCGAATATTCAAAGAACTCAAAAAACTGGTTTAAAAAAACAAACAAAAAAAACCAAAACAAAAAACAAAACCCCAAAACAACCCAATTAAAAAGGGGACAACGAGCTGACGAGGGAGTTCTCTAAAGATGAAACACAGATGACTGAGAAATACTTATATTTTAGTGTTCGATTCTTTAGTCATCAGGTAAATGCAGATTAAAAGCACTTTGAGATTTCCTCTTACCCTAGTCTGAATGACTAAGATTCAAAAACCAACGACACATGCTGGTGATGATGTGGAGAAAGGGGAACTCTTATCCACTGCTGGTGGGAGTGCAAACTTGTGCAGCCACTAGGGAAATCAGTGTGGAGATTTCTCAAAAAGCTAGAAATTGATGTACCATGTGACCCAGCCATACCACTCCTGGTAATATACCCAAAAGACTCTGTACCCTACCACATAAATACCTGTCCATCCATGCTCATTGCTCCCCTTTCCATAATTGCCAGAAACAGGAAACAACCTAGATCTCCATCAACTGATGAGTAGATGATCAGGGTGTGATACACACATATGATGGTATATTATTTGGCTCTTAAAAATGAAATTAAGACCAGGCATGGTGGCACATACCTTTAATCCCAGCACTTGGGAGGCAGAGGCAGGCAGATCTCTGTGAGTTCAAGGCCAGCCTGGTCTACACAGTGAGTTCCAGGACGGCTGGGGCTACAGAGAGACCCTGTCTCAAAAAGACCGAAAAAAAAAAAGCAAAGAAATTAAGAAATTCACAGGTAAGCCAGGTGTGGTGGCACATGCTTTTAGTCCTAGCACTCAGGAGGCAAAGGCAGGTGGATTTCTGTGAGTTCAAGGCCAGCCTGGTCTACATAGTGAGTTCCAGGAAAGCTGGGGCTACAGGCAGACCCTGTCTCAAAAAAAAAAGAAAGAAAGAAAGAAAGAAGGAAAGAAAGAAAGAAAAAGAAATTCGCAGGCAAATGGAAAGAATTGGAAGCATTCATCCTGAACCAGGTAACCCTGACCCAGAAAGGCAAATGTTGCATGCTCTCTTTCATAGCTGGATGTTAGTTTTTAAATCTTAGATATGCATGTTTCAATTTGAAAATCCAGAGAAGTCAAGAAACTAATAAACAGCCATGGGGAGGGGGTGCGTTTCCTGGCAGCGGTGGTAGAATGTAGTGATATGGAGGTAAAGGGAACATAGTGTAGGAAGGGTTAAATGGGGTGGGGAACGGGAGGGCAGGACAGAGGAGGAAGTATGGGGAGGGATAAGTAACACTAAAAGCCTTTAGAAAAAGCCACATGGAAACCTACCACTATAGAAGCTTCTTAAAGTAGATACATATGCATTATAAAAAGAGCTTAAAAGGAGTTACCCTATAACAGAGGATATTGTCCCTTCTAGATATCATAAGTTAAAAAAACCCTCAATGCCAGGAATGGACTCCCTCTCTAGAAGCTGTTGACCAGGGGTCCCATGGACTTTCAAACAATACTGGCCATTGTCCTTGCTCTTGGTTACATACCATAACTGTATGATAAAACCCTATTGCTGAAGATACTACATACATGAGCCGTAGAACAAACAAGGAGAAATCTAGCTGGTGCTGACTTCAGAGCCTCATCTCTACTGGTTAGCGTCCATAGTGCTGGAAGATGCTATGTATGTTACTGGAATGAAAAATAATCATCAACCCTACCCAGCTGTGAATCCTGTGAACTACAACAACTGGCCTCACAAGATATATCCACCAGTGCAATAGTGGTGCAAAGATTGTGGGAATAACCAACTACTCCCACAACCGGATTTAAGGTATGTTTCATAAGATGAAGCACATACCTGACATTGATATTAAGTTTAGGAACCTTACGCTAGATAGGCCACAGGACATAGAGGAGAGCCTACTACTAGTCTTCTACTAAATAGTTATAGTAAACTGACTCTTAATGACTTATTGTTATACCCATAGATTAATGCATCTCTCAGCTCTCACCAGAGAAGTTTCCTTATGCAGCATATAGTGATTAACAAAGAAACCCACAACTGGCCAATGTACAGAGAACAAGAGGCTGTAGGGTGCTTATCCCTGAATAGAACACCTATATCAAACCTCTGCCTCTCAACACTCAGAAATCATTGTGGAGGAGGGGCAGAAAGACTGTAAGAGCCAGAGGTGGTGGATGACCACACAGAAACAGAGTTTTCCAGACAACTGGTCAGTTATTCACAAGTATCATGCAAGCTCAGACCAGAAAAAAAATCCTAGCATAGACATGGGGAAGTGGATAAGAAATCCCAACCCAACCTAAGGAAATTTTGGCAACTGATGGCTGCTGGGAGGGGGAGAGACAATCTCTTTCAAGGATGGGACTCTTGGCAGGTTAACCAGACTCGAGTGGATGAACTCACACTGAAGGACATTTGGGAACATAAATTTGCCTCTATAGGCCTTAATCTGTATTACTATATAAAGAGTATATTTAATTGGTTGGGGCAATAAGGGAAGGTGTGGATAAGGGAGGGGATCTAAATACCATCAAATTATATTGTATGAAAAAATTTTAAATTCAATTAAAAATTTCATACAGGCAGAGAAGTAAACAAAATTCACAAGTGTCCACATCAAAAAACCCTAGACATCATTTCATGTATTCCAGCTTTTGGTAAGCACTAAAAGCAAGTGTTTTGATGTGGACATGTCCTGTGGCCACTGGAGATGACAGGAGCCTGGCCTCTTAAGTCCAAGATGTAGTGAGGCTCGGCAGGCTGCAGGTATAGGGTAGGGAAAGAGGCTGTTAGGTCACCCTTTGAGAGCAAAGCAGAGCAGATCATATACCTATACAAAATGCATGAAAAGTACAGGTAGTGGGAGAGCTAAACATGAAACTTGACCTCTGTTATGGTTTGGAAATGAAGTACCCCCAAAGTCTCATGTGTTGAGGGCTTGATGGTGATACTACTTGGGGAGGTTATGGAAACTTAAGGTTGTAGGATCTTGCTGAAGGAAGTAGGTTATTGGGGTGGGGCTTTAAGGGTATCTTATCCATGGCCCCTTCTTATTCCTCTCTTTGCTTCCTGTCCTCCATGGGGTGAGCAGCCTTCCTCCATCACATGTTCCTCCCACCATGATATCCTGCTGAACCTCACAGAGCCAAGCAACTATGGACTGAGCCCTCTGAAACCATGAGCCAAAATAAATACTTCCTCCTCTAAGTTGTTGCAGGTATATTGATCACAGTGATGAAAGAAACAACTAACACAATAAAATTAAACCGGGAGAAAGATGTTTCTCAAGTCAGCCTCTCTCTCCAAGTTTGAATGTGACAGTAACAATGATCTTTCAGCATCTATAATTCCTGCCTGTATTATGATTGCTTTTCCTCTCTGAAGTCTAATTTAGCTTTGAAATTTGAAAAGGCCATGATTTGTATTTTCCCCATTTTCATATAAAGTCATTAGTTAAGTAATATATACATATATAATACAAGATATAATATATAAAATATGGGCAAATATTATGATCTCATGCCTCTAAAGTAGTATGGAAAATTAATACCAGATGGGTGGATATCTTCAAAGTTAATACTGATTTTTCTTTGAGAGGTGAGATGTTATGTATTTTCAGGCATTTCTATATTTTCTAGAATAAGCATGTTATCTTTTTTTTTTCAGTCTTTTTGAGATATGGTCTCTCTGTAGTCCCAGCTGTCCTGGAACTCACTATGTAGACCAGGCTGGCCTTGAACTCACAGAGATCTGCCTGCCTCTGCCTCCTAAGTGCTGGGACTACAGGCATATACTATCATGCCCAGTGTAAGCATGGATCTCTTGGGGAAAAATTCAACCCATGTTATTAAGATAAAGGAGAACAGAGTTATTCCCAGAATGAGACAGCTTCTAGTGGGTGAGCAGCACATTGATCTTGCATACATGATCTTCTAGACTGCTGTAACTCAGCATTGAGGTCTGCCAGGGAAAGACAGCAGACCCCCATTCTCCTGGTGTTCCCCACATCTTACCTTTCATTCCCAGAATACACTCTGGAATATTCTTCTTTGACCTCCTCTAAAGTGCTGGCATTCCCATCTTGTAGGTTGAAGGATTCTATCAGAGAGGTGAGGGCAAGAGTCACAAAGAGAAAAATCAGGCCCTGTTGAGTCTCTCCTGTCTGGCTCAGGTTTGGTATTAGAGTCCAGAGTTCATTTGCCATTTTTCCTTCTAGATGTGGGGGAAGAGCACAGGCCAAGTGCTGATGCACTCCCTGTCTGGTCTGTAAAGGTGAGGTTGGGAGTCTTCAACCATTAGAACACCATTAGGGAACTCATCAAACCCAGGACCCCTACCCATCCTGCCAGACTGCAAGCTCCCTAGGGACAGGGGCCAGTTATAGCCCAAGCCCCAAGCACAGTGCCTGAAGCAGTGTGTTCTTAATAAGTATCTGTTGATTATGTATAACCCAATCCCTGCCTTCAATAAAACACCCAAACGAGCTGTCCTTAGGAAGGAGTCTCTTGCCTTTGAGTCTCAGCAAATCATCCAGGATTTGTTCCAGTTCTTGAATGTGACTCTTCGCCTTATTCAGGACCTGCCACTGAAGACACAGACACTGTTGAAAAAGACAGCCTTTCCTTGAGGAGATTATTATACTTTTGTGTGGAGCCAGGAAAGCTCCCCCTCCAGTCTGTGTCTGTACTTCCTCAAATGTAAAAGTCACATCATGGACCCTGTCAGTGGAAAGGATAGGAAGTGTATTCTAGAAATGAACTCTCACTGAAATACCAAGGCATTTGGAAACAAACTGCATTCAGGAGAGTACTGGTGCCCTGCAGAATTAGAGATGACTATGCAGGTGAAAAGTGTGATAAGGATGCACCGCAGGGTGAACGTCAACCCCAGGCTTGCACAACAGTCCAGACTTCTGCTTTAGTCATGACAACATGCAGCTGGCTGGTGAAGAGTCAGTGTACTTTTCTCAAAATAGTTACTTGCTAAATTCATATAGCTGAGATTGGTGGCCCATGCTTATAATCCCAGTACACTGGAGGTGAAGCCAGGAGGATTAGGAGTTCAGGGCCAGCCTCAGATGCATAGAGTTCAAGGTCAACCTGGGCTGTAAGAGACCCTGTCTTGAGAAAAAGCCAAACAAAATAACCTCTCAAAATACTCCATATGATCTAACAACATCAAATGTTCTGCAGATTTGAACTCTTGAGTTTGTCTCTTCTTTCCCTTCCTTCTTCTCATATACCCCTCTGTCCTTGTCCTGGGTCTCATGGTTATGCTGCCTGGTGTCAGGATGTCAAGATGATGTTCTGGCTGCAATGGTTTAAATGTTGTATCCTCCCTAATACACAGCCCTCGTTTGAGAACTTAGCCATCGTTTGAGAATATCAGAAAGTGGGACCTTTGAAGAGGTGACTGTCATGAGGGCAGACCCTTCTCGTATGAGATTAGCACCTTATAAAAAAAGCCCAGGGGAGCTTGCTCACTTTTTCCATGTGGGGACACAGCAAGCATGCATCGTACAAAAACATACAAGCTGGCCCTCACCAGATCCTGAATCTGCTGGCACAAGCCTCTAGAGCTTTGAGTAACACAATTCTGTTGTTTATAAATTGCCAGGGCTAGAATGTTTTGTTATAGCAGCTGGACCAGACTGTGATACTGGCTTTCTGAGAGCCAGTGGCCTACCTCAGCTCATCGGGACCTCTCAAAATGTCCCTTGAACATTTTTTTCCCTTTCTTTGAGGAAGGGTCTCATGTAGTCCAGGGTAAAATCTAGCATATTGTGTAGCTAAGGATGACTTTGAACTTCTGATCCTCCTGATTCTTCCTGAATGTTGTGATTACAGGTGTAATAAGTGGTGCTCTGGATGGATCCAGGGCTTCATGCCTGCTAGACCGGTACTCTACCAATTGAGCTACACCCTTCCACACACATCACCTTCTACCCTGACCACATCAAGCAAAGCCAGGGGAGCCAGCTACCATGCACTGATATTCTTTTATAGACTATTTATTCATATAATCTCATTTATTTTTTACATTTATTTTATTGGGGTGGAGGGACTCATGCTAGGTGTATGTATAGAGATCAGAGGATGACTTGCAGGAGTTGGTTCTCTCCTTCCACCACATCGGTTCTGGGAATTGAACTCAGGTCATCAGGCTTGATGGCAAATCCCTCCGGCCATGTTGCCTGCTCCCTAGAATGCTTTTGGTAGGCTAACTTTCTTAGGACTTTTGTCCTGGTTGAACTGTCTCCCCCTACTCCCACCCTAAGAAAAAGATATGTTGAAGTCCTTACCTCTGACATCTCTAGATGTGACATATTTTTGGAATAGGGTAAACATATCAAAATAAAGACCTTAAGTTGGGTTCCAATTTGACTAGTGTCCTTACGAAAAGGATACATGTGGATACAGAGACAGAGCAGTCATATAGAGAGGTGTGAAGACAGGGAGACTTAATGAGGTTGGAGTGAAGCTTCTACAAACCGAGGGATGCCAGGAACTGCTGGAAAATGCCAGAAGCTAGGAGAGACAGAAAGGACTTCCCCCTGAAGTACCTTGATCTTGGACTTTCAGCCTCTAGATACAAGTCATTTAGTTGCTGTTGTTTTAAGCCACCCCATTTTTGTTATTTTGTTATGGTAGCCTTGGAGAACCAATAGGATCATATTTCACATCCCCTTTTGTAGAACAACCCATTCTTTCTTCATACTGAATCCTTAACTGTCCCTCAGGAAACAGAGAAAGAATACAGTCAATAGTTGGGTTCTAAGCCACTTCTGGTTGATAATTGAACTGTCCAGTCTCCTGGTCTGTAAAACAAGAATGGTATGACTAGAGACCTAGGGAAGAAGTAAGACATGTTGGGAGAAAATGGTAGCAGTATTTTAAGACTCTAATGGTAATGGTGTGTGTCTTTGTAGACAGGCCTGTTGGGCAGCCACTTGTACCTTCCCTGTGTACAGATGAACTAACTGAAGGTCAGAAGTGACTTGTTTCCCATCCACTGAAATTAGTTACTAGCCACTCTGTTATCTGCTAAAGCACAAGGTCAAAACCTAGGGGCTTTCCTCTGAATTAACTTGCACTCCTTACAGTGAGGCCCTGAGTGCTTGTTTTCTGGTTGGTTGCCCTGCTGGTTTACACAAATTTCTCCATTGGTCATAGATAGGGGCTTTAGGTTTTTATGTACCCCAGAAGCACAAAGCAAACACCTCTTTATTCAGTAGATGTAGAGCAAAGCTAGGTTCTGGGGAGAGCTCTGCCTCAGTAGAGCCCAGATATGCCACCCACTCCTGTGTCTTGAGTTCCTGAACTTGGCTTTCCTCTACCTCCCACCAGCACCCCCTGCCTTTCTCTAACAGCAGGTCAGGACTCTTGGGAATCCTTCAGTTGGAAACAATAACAATTGGAGCACTGTATAAGAGTGCTCAGGAGCCATTTTGCTCTAATTTCCACAAAGGCCTGGGCCTGGGCCTGTTCAGGAATGCTTCTGTGTGTTTGCCCCCCTGGAAAAAGTCAGGCCCGGAGCAGAAACAGCTCCTCTCTTTGATGTTTCAGCCAATAAGTCCCCTTTCCCCTTCTCTCATCCCCTCTCCTCCCTGCCTTCCCCCTTATTCCCTCCCCTACTCTTCTCCTCTCCTCTCCTCTCCCCTTCCTTCCTCTTCTCTTCTCCCCCCTTCCTCTTCCTCTCCCTCCCCTTCTTCCCTTCTCCTCACCCCCCTGCTCCCTCCCTCCCTCCTTTTAGAGGGCGAGGAACCGCAGATCTCAGGGACTCTCACTGCAGCCTCATGCAGCCTCATGCCACTACCCCATCTACCAGGTCTTTCTCCAATCTCCGCTGGCTAATTAATGAACTTATTGCTAATTAGCAATTAAAAAGCTAGCTGAGAAGAAACACAATTAAGAGCAGGACAAGCTGGGTGTGGTGGGTCACACCAGCAGTCCCAGCACTGGGGAGCTAAAAGACAGGAAAAGTGTGATTTTTAAGGCTGGCTTGGGCTGTGTGGAGAATTCTAGGCCAGGGTGAACTATGTAGAAAGGCTGCTTCAAAACAGAAACAACAGCAACAACAAATAAAAAGAGTAGGGAAAGGTAAATACTTACCTGGAGAGCCCTGTGACCTAGGTCACAGGTAAATACTTACCTGGAGAGCCCTGTGACCCAGAGTGTGCACATGTGCCCTGAGCAGGTGTGCAAGTTTGTGTGTGTTATGTACATACATGTATATGTACATGCAGTGGAATGGTACATGTGTATGTTGGTGGTATGTGCATGTGTGTATAGTGTGGTGTGTGTGTGTGTGTGTGTGTGTGTGTGTGTGTGTGTGTGTGTGTGTGTGGGGATATGTGTGTGTGTGTGTGTGTGTGTGTGTGTGTGTGTGTGTGTATGTTTGGGTAGATGTAGAAGGTCCTGGAACATCTGCTTGAGGCTGGCTGCTGCCCCCAAACAGGACAAGCACTAGTCACTGAGTAACCAGATGTCTTCCTCAGGCCCATCATTTTCCTTCTTATGTCAGATTGGGCTGCAGCTGGTAGGTCAGGCCTGGCTTTGACAGTCTACCTATGGGCAGCAGTAGTGGCAGCAGGAGGCACAGCATCATGGGACATCAAGAACTGACCACTGATCACACCCAAGTCCAGCCCTTAGGGAGGGCAGCAGGGCTGGCAGCTCTAGGCCAGTCCTTACCCCACTCCCCGATCCCGTCATGTGTAGAAATGTTTCCCCCACACCCAGGTCCCTGTACCTTTGAGGCTGTGAGATCAGACTGGGAGTAAACCATCTTCCTTAGGCTGTTGAAGAGCCCCGCCAGAGTGGCTCGATGACGGGCCTGGGACAGGCGTCTGCGGGCCACCCGAGGCGTAAGATGCTGCATAGGTGGTGCCTCTGACTGGGCTGTTGCTGCATCATCACTGGGTTTGCTGCCTTCTCCTGGGGTTGCCATTATAATCTGCAACATAATATTATTGCCCCTTTTTACCTCATATAATATGAGGCAACATCAAGGAAAATGGAAAACAGGCGAAGCAGACAGAAAGGAACTGGCTCTCAAGCAGAAGATGAATATAGCCAATAAGATACACAATCAGTGTAGGTGACCCAGAGTCTCTCACTGAAGCCCAGCTCTTAAAATCACAAGCCACTGGGGCTGGAGAGATGGCTCAGCAGTTAAGAACACTGGTTGTTCTTGCAGAGGACCCGGGTTTGAATCCCAGCACCCACATGGCAGCTAACAACTGTCCGTGACTCCAGTCCCAGGGGATCTGACAGCCTCTTCTGACCTCCTTGGGCATTGCACGACACGGGTGCACTTACCTACATGCAGGCAATACACCCATACACATAAAATAAACAAACAAACAAATAAATAATAAATAAATAAAATTTAAAATCACAAGCCATCTACCTTGCACTTTCAGCTGAGGGGCACTGGGGCATGCCCCACTGCTGTTTCAGCACAGTACAAGCACTAACCAGATACTCCTTCATGTCTGTGGCCAAGGACAGCACCCATCCTTTGAGACCCTGCCCTTCATGGTCTGTTCAAAGCTGAACAGGCCTGGGTTCCACTCTCTGATTTTTTCAAGCTTGAGAATAGCATTTTAAAGATATTTTATTTAGTATTTTTATTTTATGTGTATGAGTGTTTTGCCTGCATTTATGTGAGTGCACCCATGTTGTCCAATGCCCATGGAGGTCAGAAGAGGGCGTCGGATCTCCTGGAACTGGGGTTACAGATAGTTGTTAGCCACCATGTGGGTGCTGGGAATTGAACCAGGTCCTCTGCAAGAGCAGCCAGTGCTTTTAACTGCTGAGCCATTTCTCTAGCCCCAGAACAGCATTTTTTAAAACTGGGGCGTGGTTACACATGAAAAACAAAACAAAACAAAACAAAACAAAAACCTCCTTCGAGATGTCCACAGATTTGTTGACTTTTCTGTGCACATATTATGCCTCAGAAAAAAGAAGAGTGTATACCTTCTGTGAAAGCAAGAAGTCACCTGACATGTCACAGGAAAGGGGACATGGGTTTGCCTTGCCTTGTGTTGCTTCTGGTACTTTCTTGCTTCTTGTTCACCACCTGCAATTATTTACTATGATTCCACACAGACATTCTTTCCTAATTATCATTATTGACTTAGAATTTTGGTTTTGTGGCCCTTGACGGGCTCAGCTCTATCTTTTTCAGGCTGAACTTTGTAAAAAAATTGTTTTTATTTGTTATTAACTTGTGTGTGTGTGTGTGTGTGCATGCGTGTGATGCATGTGTGAGTGCTGGTACACATGTGGAGGTCAGAGGACATTTTTGTGGAATCAGTTCTTTCTTCCCACCTTTATGTGGATTTCAGCCATAGAATTCAGGTCATCAGGCTTGCACAGCAAGCATTTTTCCCACTGAGCCATCTCACTGGCCCCCAAGACTGAATATTCTCTTGCAATATGCTTGGATCTGTACCATTAGACACTGTGATTTGAGTGAAGGGTGGTCCTCCTAGGACAAATACCTCAGAAATCATTCTCTGAGATAGGGGAGGGGAGAACAGGACAAAGTTTACAAATCAAAGTTAGCTTTGTGCTAGGAAAGGGTGACAGAACATATTGTGAAGGGAGAACCAAGTGTAGTATAAAAGTATCAAGAAAATTGGGACTGGAGAGATGGCTCAGTGGTTAAGAGCACTGACTGCTCTTGTAGAGGATCCTGGTTCGATTCCCAGTACCCACATGGTGGATAACAACCATCTGTAACTCCAGTTCTGGGGCTCCAGCACCTTCTTCTGACCTCCTCCTGCACTGCATGACACAGGTGCACTTGCATACATGAAAATGAAACACTCATACACATAAAATAAAAATAAAAGTACCAAGAAATGATATTTATTTATTTACTTACTTATATGATGAGGAGGACAGAGTCTCATGACTTAGCCCAGGATGGCCTTGAACTCACAATCTTTTGTCTGAGCTTCTTGAGTGATAGAATTACAAGTGTGTATCTCTGTGCTCACTTGACTAAGAAGTAGACTGTTTTTAATATAAAAAAACTTTTACCTGAAGATGTTGCTTCATGGTAGAGCACTTAATTAGCATGTGTAAGGCCCTGGGTTTCATCCATAGTGCCACAAGAAAACAAAATCTAAAGACTTTTCTTCTGTAACTCACAGAGATCTGCCTGCCTCTGCCTCCCAAGTGCTGGGATTAAAGGTGAGTACCACCATGCCCAGCTAAAAATAAATTTTTAATTACAAAAAAAAATGTTGGTTCAGGATATGTATAAAGAACTAAATGTGTGATTTATACACCTCTGAATGTATTGCGTATGTATATACATATATATGCATGTATCTGTCTTTATAAATCTTACAGGAACTTGAAAAATTCAAGATCAGATTAATTTCTGAAACTTTTATTAATAACCAGTGATACTTTTTAAAATGTTCACTTTGTACTGTACTGAGATATTTTTATTTGTTTTCAGATCAGGTGGCAAGACAATTGAATGTAATAACTTTGAACTAAAATTTTTATTTATTATTTTTATTTATTATTTAATTTTACTTATTTTTATTTTATGTGTATGCATGTATTGCCTGCATGTAGGTAAGTGCACCCATGTTGTGCAATGCCCGAGGAGGTCAAAAGAGGCTGTTGGATCCCCTAGGACTGAAGTTACGGACAGTTGTTAGCTGCCATGTGGGTGCTGGGATTCGAACCCAGGTCTTCTGCAAGAACAGCCAGTGTTCTTAACCACTGAGCCATCTCTCCAGCCCCTATTTATTATTTTTTTATGTGTATGAGTGTATTGCCTGCATGTATGTAAATACGCCTGTGTCATGCAATGCCCATGGAGTTCAGAAGAGGGCACTGGATCCCCTGGAACTGGAGTTAGGGACAGTTGTTAGCACGATGCTGGGAACCCAACCCAGTCCTGTGCAAGAGCAGTCAGTGCTCTTAGCCGCTGAGTCATCTCTCAAGCTCTGTATTTCCCTCTTTAAATATTTTCTCCTGCTGTACCTTGACAAGGAGTTTTTCAGCAGAGCCAAGTTGAATGGCAGCGTCATTGATACATCTTTTTTTTTTTTTTTTTGAGACAGGGTCTCCCTGTAGCCCCAGCTGGCTGGAATTTGCTACATAAACCAGGCTGGCCTCAAACTCACAGAGTTCTGCCTGCCTCTGCCTCCCAAGTGCTGGGATTAAAGATCTGACACCATACATTTTTCTAAAAGGGTATTTTGTAAAGATTCAGACTGAATCTCACTGTGTAGCCTAAGCCAGCCTTGAACCCACAACCTTCCTACCTCATCTTCCTGAGTGCTAGGATTCCTGATGTGGGCTACCATGCCACGGCCCAAAGCACACTTTTCATATCCAAATATTTTCTTACAAAAACACCACTTCATACCAACTTAGAGCTGACATTTTAAAAAGCCCCCTGAAACCAGATGTGGTAACATATGCCTGTCATGGAGGATGAGATAGGAAGATAATGAGTTGGAGGCTAGCCTGAGCTACATAGGAAATTACAGGCAAGCCTGAGCGATATAGCCCAATCCAGTCTCAGCCAAATAAAGCATAACTAATGAACAAACTAAACCAATTAAATTAATTAGATTTTAAAAGCTCTCTAGACTAAATAAAATGGCCTCATTTTTATGTTTTAGAAAACGTTCAATCCTTTTAAATTTAAAACTTCTCCACAAACATTAGAGTGTGATCCTTTAAAAAAAAATCAATATCACATTTTAAAATTTATTTAGGAGCCGGAGAGATGGCTCAGCAGTTAAGAGCACTGACTGCTGTTTCAGAGGACCGGGGCTTGGTTCCCAGCACCCACATGGCGGCTAAAAACTATGCCAGGGGATCTGACGCCCTCTTCTGGCCTTCCGAAGTGGGTACCAGGTCACGGACGTGGCGCAATGCCACATACACAGGCAAAACACTCATGCGTATAAAGTAAAATAAATAAAATACTTTAAAAACTGATTAAAAACCGGCCATGGTGGCGCACATCTTTAACCTCAGCACTCCGGAGGCAGAGGCAGACGGCTCTCTGTGAGATCGAGGCCAGGCTAGCCGGGTCTACATAGAGAGTTCCGGGCCAGCTGGGACTACAGGGAGACCCTGCCTCAAAAAGACAAAACAAACAAACAAACACCAACCCACCAAACTATTAAAATATTTTCTTTAATTCCACAGATACACGTAACGTGTTTGAATCAAACGCACCCCCATCCGATCAGGTCCTTCCGAATCTTCCAGTACCCTTCGCCCCCAGCTACTTTCCCCTCCCAGCTTCCACTTGAGGCAGAACTGACTAATATTCCGGATAATCTATTTCAGCTTCCTTTGATTCTCTACGCCGGGGTGGGGATAGCATCATCAAACACCGCCAGGACCCCAAAACTCGTGCGAACCTTCTAGCCCTGTCCCCCCCCCCGCCCCCCCCCCGCGTGCAAGCACCCCACGCGTGCAGGAGGACACGCTTCGGGACCAGAGCTGCCAGGGCTACTCACCCGGGGACGGCGCCACCCGGAACACGCGGGAAGCAGCCGACTGTGGTCCTCCCTCCGCACCGCCTCGCCCCCGAGTGTGCAGCCAGGCTCTCGCCTCAGGCGGGAAGCAGACCTGGCACCTGGGGGCACCCCGGTTGGGGACCAATCACCTCCTGCCACTGGCCTCCACAACCAATGGGAATGCGTGGTGGCGGGCCAATGGGGAGCGTGGGCACTGTTGGAGACACTGTAACAAGTTGTCCGAAGGACCCTCGCCTGGTCTGGTCATCGAGCGCGTCCCTCCACTGAGGCAATGTTGCCCACCTTCCATATAGTATTATCACGAGGGTTGGACGAGTCCCCTTCAACAAGGGGACCCCAGTGTCAGCCCCCATCTGGTGGAAAAGATAAAAAAGGAAGATGTGAGGGGGGAAAGGGGTACATAGTTGGGGAA